TTCCCCTCTTCTCTTCCCGCGCGTCTCCCCTTTCCTTCTCCCCCTACACACGTTAATATTATTATTATTATCTTTTTAGGGAAGCAATTCTCTCGTCCATAAGAAAGGCCATTGCATTTGGTATGACAAATGCCAAKATAATAAATATCTTGACTATGAATACTGCCTTTATAATGGACCAGCAAAGACTTTGAATGACACCAAAGGTATTAGGCTACTTAAGAAGATGTGCCCACAGTATGCTGGCAATAGAAAGACCTGTTGCTCTGCTAAGATGCTTAACGATATGCAATTCGAAGTCTATTTTACTGTGGACAAGTTGGCAAGTGACTGCCCCGCCTGCTATCAGAATTTGATGACACTGTACTGTGAGATGATCTGCAGTCCTGACCAGTCTCTCTATGTGAGTCCGCAAACGGTCAAGCATCATAATTCTAAAAGACAAATCACTCAACTGAACTATTACGTGTCTTCTTCATTCAAGAAAGCTCTTTATGACTCGTGTAAAGATGTCGTTGTTCCCTACAGCGATAATTCTAACATGGCCATGGAAACAAGGTTTCTATGCGCACGTAAGGCTTCAGAATGCACCCCCCAGAAACTGGTTGAGAACATAGGTAGAAAGGAAAGTGGCAATTTTCCTATCAGTACACTTTTTCCTGAGTCTCTTCCCCAGAACATGAYSTGGATGGATAAGACGGCCTACAAGTGCAACAAGGATTTTACAACACCATGGAATAAACGACGTCGTASTTGCTATTGCGATGACTGCGCTAGTGCATGCCCTAAACCTAATAGATCTCCTCCACGAAATGTGCATRGCCAGATATACAAGTTGAGTTTGAAGATACAGAAACTACTCTCCAATGTCGTCAAAAAAGCTACAAAGCCTTTCTTTTGAGCAAACTGGTAGTTTGTCTGCTTGAGGGGAAGAGGAAATGTGGATGGAATATGAAAACGATTTTTGCAAATGAATTTATATGTGTAGATGAGTATTTGTATTTGATTAACTTCAAGCTAAGAATTGTCAGTTTTGATTTGAAATGCGTTATTTAGACTTAGATATTGATTATTGTTAATATCATATGTGGTATTGTGTACTATAMAGTTTTTCATAGTTAATAAGTTATAGTGAAGATTCTTATAGATCTGCTTGGAAACCATGACAAAGCATTGAAAAAAGAGACAAGCTACAACATTTTGATTTTGACTGTTTGTAAAAGAAACTTGGGTATACATGAAATAAATATGTTGTGATTTCATAATATGTTGCGCCATTGATAGACTTGATATGATGAAATTTGCGAATAGACTTTTACTGAACTTTTACGTCGCTACTTGATTTGCAATGCATTGTGGGATCATTTTCTAGAGAAAACAACAGAAATTCGCCATGTTCTGTCCCAATAAACACATCCTGCAATGCGTTGCTTATACGGTATATGACGTAAAAGTTTCAGAGGTCTATTAAACTCCGTGCAACCGTCAGCTGTAAAGAGAATCGTGTATCAAAAATAGCGAGAACCACTTCGTGGAATACACCGTTGTCCAGGCTACGTTAAGAGTATAGAATTTTATCGTATGGAATATATTTTTATCAGCACGCATCATTTATTCTGAATATTTTTATTATTGCAGAGAAAATTTAGCATTTSGATTGCATTCACATTGTACACTTAGAATTTAAAAGCTGTGGAAGGTCAGAAAGAAAAAATTACAAGTATTTTTTAATGTTAAAAGAAAGGAAGAAAAATGAATTATTATTGATCATTCCTCCCGTGGGCTCCTGACGCGAGGCGCCCTGTTTCTCTGCTTCATGCTACAGTAAACATTTTCGTCTGAAAGATTCGCAAAAGGAATATTTATCCACGAAATGGAGTCCTTAGAGCTTTAATTTAGCTGTAGTCAAAGACATCTTTCTGTATCTGTTGACTCAGTATAYTGATGATAAATTCTATAAACATTTCGATAAAATGTTTATATTATTCAAACTGCATTTTGACATCGTTTATTACTCGATTAACCGAAAGCTTCATGCTAAGTTTTTCTTAATCAATTTTATACGGATTATCATTCATCCTCTCAATTATTAACATTCACTATATCAATATTAATCCATTTAAAAACTTTTATATCATCAGCGAAAATGTGGAACGTTTGAGTGTAATGTTGGAGTTTCAGAGGTCTTGAATTGTGTTCCGTTGAATCCCGGCAAATCTTTGGCAACAGCTAGTATCTGCTGGTCTGTAATAAACCACTTACGTTAAGAATTTCAAGAGATTTTTGTCCTGCTGCTTATCCGAATACTGCTTATCCGAGAACTGTACACTCGAATCGGATGTACACCTTTTCCTGTGATGATTTGGAAACAATAACGACAATTGAAAAATTCGGTGAAAGGCGTCACATTATTATATCGAGTACATCGGTATTCGGCGACAAACCAACACCCATCCCAACCCCCACCCCCATCAAAATCCACTGAAGAATGCAAACCTGTATCGCATGCTAATTTCTGCCTGAGCTCTGATTGGCTCGCTGCTCCCCAAGGATTTTGGTGACGTCATATATTAGCATAGAACTCCACCGAATAGACTACCCCCATTAGATATTAGATATCTATAAGTGTCTTCATAGTACGATGGTCTAAGAGGGTAGCTAAAGGTAYGCTCTAGTGGGCGGCTACCCCCTCACTCCCTGGCCTTTTGGTTAAGACTAAGTTTTATGTTCACTCGGGATAGCGTGGAAGAGCCGAAATCTCTAACCATAACGTAAGCCGATTCGACGCCTCAGCTTCATAGAATGTCTCGGGGGAATCGTCCCATCTTTTTAGTTTTTTATTTTCATTATTTCTTATGTGTGCCAGGGGGGGTTGCATCTTCTCCTGAATTGAAAGTTCTGAGTTCGAGCCCTGCTGCTGGAATTTCTCTTTTTGGCTTTTTTCTTTTTTCTTTGTTTTTGTTTGTTGTTTTCTTTTCCTATTTTTTATTCTTTACCTATTTATTTTTTTATTCTTTTTCTTTGCTTTTATAACTTTGTTTGTTTTTCTCTATAGATTGTCAAAACATATCAACTAGGACTCGCAAGGAACGCATGCCCACAATACGATGACATACATAGTGCAGTAGTGACGAGAGGCTCACACAGGGAACCCAACACTTTTTCGTTTTCTCAAATCCAGTTACGATCTATAGATTTTGCAATTGAAATCATCTATAAATATCTTAAATGATGTAAAATAGACCTATCATTAATTAATGTTATGGAATAAATAACCCAAAATGGATTTGACCATATGCATGAGCCCGCAATGTTACAAAAAACTGTGTACAAGATGGCGACTGCCGGTGAAGACGACGATGAGGATGGGTTTGTATGAAATATTGCGAATTTTGCAGTGTTTTTCTAYTGCTAACACTTTGAAATCGTTAGGTATTCTCTTAAAGAGGAAATAGAGATGCTAGAAGCCATTTATATCCACGAACTAACAATAAAAGGACGGAAAGATAGGTACGAATGGTTTAAGATTAAATAAACTTATTTGAGCAATTTTATGTTTGGTTTAAAAATTCTTTGATTTTATGATAGAAATTATGCATGATTTAACTTAAGAATCCATTTTGATTAGAGTTCAAAATTAAGTTCAGTGCTGAACTCCAATGGAACTAGGATGCTTTTCATTCTGTACTAGGCCAACATTGTTTAAAAATTAGTTCTTCTGTTATTAAGCTTACGTTAACGTACCGGAGGAATAGATTACGTAACAGAAAACAAGTGAAAACAATGAAGCTGTTTAAGGCTAAGCAATATCCAGGAATACAAAAGATACAGGCATTACTCGGCATTCAAAATGGCGCCCAATAGGCCAAATTTCCCCTCCCCCGTGATAACATGAAAGTCGAAATTTTAAA